GGTTGCCAGCTCTGCATCCAGGCCATAGACCTTCGCTTTGAAAGCATTTGCTTTCCACATTAAGCCCTTCGTTATCAGCCCTAGTTCTCTCCCAGGCTCACCATTTCTCTTTGTTTTTCAGGGCTGGAAAATGAAATTGAATGGTATCTCCCAATGCTCCGGAGCACGCGGGATGTCGACATGCTGTGGAATTGTTTGTCCAACATGGACGGCACTTTCTGTTCTGTTTTCCAGCAGTTGGCTCACTCGCCTGGGCACCTGGTTACACTGAACCTTTCACCTTGGGCCATCCACACACTTGGCAAAGACAAAGTGTCATAGCCTCGTGAGACCCGGCTTATTCTCTCTCTTTTACTAATCAGTGAAATAGTTGTATTTATCAATTTTACAGGCATCTTTTATCCAGAGATCTCTAAGCACTTTACAAAAGTGAGTCAGTGCCATTATCCTTATGGGGAAACTGAGGCACATAGTGGGGAAAGTGATTTGCCCAATGGCACACAGTGAGTCAGCAATGGAACCCAAAAGTCCTAGCTCCCAGCCCACTGCATTAGCCCCTGGACCATGCTTCCCGCCTCAGACAGATGGAGAACTGAGATGCAAAGGCACTTGTCCAGTGAGTCTGTGGCAGAACTAATTCCTATTCAGTTCTAAATGATTGTTGTTGTTATTTATTATGGATGTTCAGGCCTGGCAGAATTTGATTTTTATTTTTTATAATTTTGATGGCTAATATGGATGTTTATTTTTAAGCTTTTTTCCCATTTGTATTGATTGATATTTGCACAGTTGTGGGAAATTACGGGGGAGAGCAGACAATAGAAGGGGGTCAGACAATTATTTAATGACAGTGGACACTGAGATTCAAAAGTTTAAAGCTTTATAACGGTTGAAACACAAATTGCCAGCATCACATATCAAAATATCCTTAAATCAAACTCAAGCCGCATTTTTCTTACTTTGCCTAGCTGTAAATTTCTATTATCATGGATGGAAATATTATTTTAATTGGTTTATGTGTGTATGGTGAAATTGACATTTACTGACAAAATTCTAAACCTTCCAAGCCTACTTATAATGTATTGCAGTGGTTGAGATCCGGGTCCCGTTGGGCGAGACCCTGTGCTGAAAGCCAGTCCCTGACTCAAAGACCTTATCTGTTTCTAGCTGGATACAGGGTAACTCCCCCCAAAATACACCATTTAACCCCATCCTGGCTGGATTGTATCCGCCTCTGACAGAGCCCTGAGATACCGGACACCTTCTTACAATTTGGCAGCATTGTACATCTTGTCATGCTGTTGAAGCCTCGTTGAATTGTACTCCGTGCCCTGTCCTAGTACTGTTGTGAAGATCTTATCATGTCAAAACGACTCCAGCTCTTGGCTAATCCTGAGTGGAATCTGCAATTCCACACTTGAAGTCAGCACTGCAGCTGTTATTTGGATTGCTTGTTTTCACCTGACTTTGCAGCTTGATGCGAGAGAATGTGTATGTCATTGAAGGGTGAGTCAGGATGGCCATAAATGAGAAAACAAGATCACTCTGTCCTAAATTCTGCTTTACCTGACTTTCCTTTGGGGATGGCAGAAAACAAAAGATATCAACTGAAAGAAACTCACACAACACATACCCACTGAACTAAAGTTACCAAATCCTATTGCCATGGGGCAGGGACTATTTTTTTAATTATGTAGTGGGACAGTGCCTAGCGCAATGAGGCCCTGACTGGGCACTCTAGGCACTATTGCAAACCAAATAAATAACAATACTGAGTACTTGAATGCCCTGCTCCTGGAATTAAGCCTGGAGTTATTCTTGTTTCTTTTTGTCTGAGTTGTAAAGCATTAGTGTGATATTTGCACTACACATCACACTGCTGTAAAGCAAAGAGCACTGAACAGCTTGTGAACTAGCGTGAGCAGAGCACAGCTTAGGGCAGGGGTAGGCAACCTATGGCACGTGTGCCGAAGGCGGCACATGAGCTGATTTTCAGTGGCACTCACACTGCCC